TCCTCCAAAAAGGAAAGTCCTTTTGGTTACTCGTGGGATCGATCAGATTGATCCCATAACATATGCTAACTTTTATGCTGGTTTGATGTAAAAGTTGATATATAGGAAGAATGCACGTTCGACCAGGGATATGGTGTTTGTGGTTTTGGAAAGTAAGAAAGTAAATAGAAGTGCAGGTAAAGATGCAGGAAACATAAACTTTACAAAAGAAGATCAAAGCAATGTAAAAAGACTTTATTAATAAAAAGTGGTGTTTCCAACTTACATTCTCAGTTATTCTTTCACACACAGTGGGTACTTGAATAATAATTGAGTAACTAGCACAATAGGTTGAACACACGGAAAACCTACACAAACTTCCTATTTTTATACTAAATTATGTAACTGTCGAGGGTGGCTTTGCTCTAGGATGAAGACAAGTGTCTTCTGCATGTCCCTCGACCTCTATCTTCCTGCCACGTCGCTTTCCCTTAACTGCTGGCGAACTGCATTTCCCTCCAATCTTCAAATTCAAATATCCCTCGTCTTTGGTACTAACACGAAGGTTTGTTCTTCTAGTCGAAGGTCACAGGACCTTTCTCGTCGAAGGCTTGATGGTGATGTCTGGTCGAAGACCAATTTGTAACTTAGATATTTTATCTAAGTTTTTTCCATCCGTCGAAGCATTTTCCAGCTTGGCTTTATCTGCTCTATTTTTGGCCCATAAGGCCAATATATAGTAGGTGTTGAATTCAAGAGCCAACACCACTACCTTTGGAGCTGCTCTCACCTCTTTGCACCGTCAAAACCTTTGAACTTTATGAATCTTTTCCACCAAAATTCTGGAAAATTTATCTTCCCTTTTGAAGACCATTTTCCTTCCGACCTCTTACTCTTCTCATTGAACCGTGCTTGCAACATAATCTCCGATTTGGCTTTGTCATTTCCTCTTTCATCGATCCTTTGTTCATGAGCTTCTAATGAGCTTTGAAGCTCCTCCTTGCTCAATGTAGAAAGATCCTTCGATTGCAACCACAATGTTGTCGAATCTTGACGTTAAAGAATGTAAGATCTTTGCAACAACATTCTGCTCCAACACGGTTTCACTATAAGATTTCATTTGGTTCACCAAACAATTTCACTGATTGACTCCTTCTCTTCCATTTGCACCAGCTCGAACTTCCTCTTTTGAGTTTGTAACATCACAACATATGCTTTATCAGCCTCTTCATAAGCTTTATTTAAGATCTCCCACGCTTTCTTCGTCGATCCACAATCACCAACCTTTTCGAAGTTGTCATTTTCTACGCAAGAATGTATCAAGAAGAGTGTCTTGTAATCTTTCTTTTTCTCTTTCTTGAATATAGCCCGTTGAGCAGTTGTAGCTTCTGCCCCAAGTGGTGTAACACCATCATTAACCACTTCAAGAATGTCTTGGTACCCAAACAAAACTTCATTTATTTGCACCGTTTGTCATAGTTCTTGGAGTCAAGGGTTGGAAGATTGGTAGAGATTCTATCATTGGAAACATTAGACATGTTTGCAGCAGATTAATGGATTAAAACCTAGGCTCTTGATGCCAAATGTTAGAACATGTACAAAATAAGTTGGTGAATTAATGGTGAAAAATGGTTAATTGTAGAAGATGAAGTTAGAGAGAATTTGGAGATTATGAAAGAGAGAGAGAGGAGAGAGAGAGAGAGAGAGAGAGAGAGAGAGAGAGAAGAGAGAGAGAGAGAGAGAGAGAGAGAGAGAGAGAGAGAGAGAGAGAGAGAGAGAGAGAGAGAGAGAGAGAGAGAGAGAGAGAGAGAGAGAGAGAGAGAGAGAGAGAGAGAGAGAAAGAGCAATTGAGAAGAAAATTTTATTATGGCATTAACGGTTAAAAACAAACATTACATGAGGGTTTATATAGGATATCACAAAAAATACAATTTAGAACCAAATAGACCCAAGAAAACAACTAAAAATTCAAACTATCGCGCTTGAAATCGATTTCTCAAAACAAGAGAATTAATTTCCTAAACTAAAAACGCAAATTCCAGAAAACTATAGTTGTGGAAATCAATTTTCTCTTTGAAAATTCCAGATTCCAGATTTTCAGAAACATTTCTCAAATAAGTTGTTTTCAACGAAACGATTCTTGAAACTTTCACAATACATTTGAATTATTTTAAACTTCCAATAAAAAAAAAGGTAAGAATAAATCTTAACCATTTATTATCACCACTACTCTATGATCTCTATTAAAAATTTAATTAAATTTAAAATCAATTTAAAATTCTCCTTTAAAATAGTGACATGTGTGCATTTTTACATTTCCTCTTCAAATTGTTTCAAAATAAATAATACTACTTTTATATCAAATATATTGGAACAAAATCTTAGAACTCTGATAGAGATAGAATAAAAGAAATAATTTGAAAATTAATTGTATTCCATCTCTAAATTTGTTCGGATTGTGTGACTGAAGAAGTTGAAATTTTTTCTTCAAATAATTGCGACGAAATTGTTTTGTTTCAAATTCTGTACCAGAATTAAATTGGGATGAAAATTTGTACTGTAGGATAGAAATTTGTAGTATTGTAGGACGAAATTTTCCCTTCCAAATTGATTAATTTATAGTGAATTAAAAAAACTTATATTATGAAATAAAATAAAATAGAAATCATGATTTGTTAAAACTATTACAGACTCTATTAATCTAATGAAAATTATTGAATTATTTAACTTCGTATTATAAATGTTACATGTTAAGCATAGAAGTATGATAAAGCGTGACAATAAAATCCATATTTGCGGATATTCATTTAAATTCGTTTTAAAATTGATGGAAAAAATTCGTTTTAAAATTGATGGAAAAAATTCGTTTTAATTAAGATTGAATTCTAATTTAAATAGTTTGAGTTAAAATGGAGAATGCAAATTATTTAAAAATTCCAATTTGAAAAAGATAAAAATTGTTCCGACCGACTCCGTTGCTATACTTAAATATAATAAGTGTAAGTGTGATTGAAGATCTCCTTGACATCAAAACAAAAGTTTATCAAAATTCATATTTACTCAAAGAAATGTGTATATTCTGAGAGAGTTTGTATTTTTCTTCATTTATATCTATTCCAAAAATTAAAAAAAAAAAGAATTGCACAGTTAGTACAAAATAAAATAAAATATTTAAATGTGAGGAGGAGGAGATAAACGACGAGTAGTAGTAGTAAACGAGTGGTAAGAAACTCATGAAATAGCGCGCGAGTATAAAAGGTTGGCGGTTCCCTCCTTACATTTTCAGTTTGAAGTGAGATTGCAAAAATGGCAGAAGAATTAACAACGGGAACGGCAATGGCAGCACACACAATCTCCTCGAGGAAAAAACCGATCAAGAACGATAAGCTCTGCCTCGAAGATTACATTCATCTCCTTCACTCTCGTCACACCAACGATCTCACCATGAATCAAATCAATCAGGTTCCATTCCAAATCAAACCTATTTTTCATTTTTCATTTTTCAATTTTCAATTCCAAAATTCTTCATCTCTTTTACTCCTTACAACTGTATCAGGTTATCCGTATTCACGGCTTCAAAAAAATTCACCATGCTCCAAAGGTATCAATCAATTGTCTCTCTCTTTAACCGATTCCACCGATCGATCTGTAGTAGTTACTGCTACTTAGTTTAGTTGAACAGTGTTATTGTATATTTTTATTGATGTTGCTATGTGAATCTTCGATGAGTAGTTTTGATTTTAAGAAATTTGCAAAATCTGTTTTGGATCTAACTCGCAGAAAGTGTTGACTGATGCTGTGGAGACGCTAGATCTGCAGGATCTACCGCGATCAACGCTCTCCGAGAGCATTTTCGCGTTTGCTGACTTGACTATGGAGGAGGCGAGTGCGGATCTCAGTGATCTCAACTGGCAGGAGTGTTGTGTTACCTCTATCCAGAAATTTGGCTGCTGCGATGCTCAGAGATTGTTTCCTGCTTCCTCTGATCAGAATCTCGGAGTTGTGAATCACTCGCAGTCGCAAAGCTACAATCACCACACACAAAGAGATGAAACCGGTGGAATCGTCCTTGAAACTTTAAAGCGTAAGCCTGAAGTTACGAAAATGGTGCCAAGGCGAAAGAGGAGCGGTATTCTTGCTCTTCACCCTTCCACTTCAATTGTGGATTCTGCTTCCCTCGCTTCATGCTGAAAAAATGACTACCATTCTCTTGCTTTTCTCTCTTTCAGTTATATTGTGCTGTTTCCTTTAGCCAATTTTAGAATTGGATTATGAAGATGTAAAGAGTGACTGAATTTAATGCTTCATAGATCAGTATTATACATGTTTGGTGATTACACTGCACTAAGATGGTAAATAAGGATTGTTCTGATTTTTCTGTTTGTAGTACTTGTTTTTTTGTTCTTGCTGCTAGTAAGACACAGCCTCTTATGGCTGACTTTGCTTGCATATAATTCATTACTGCCAAAACATTTAACAGGTTCACCGTGTTGGAGTGAAGTATTTGGCCACTTATGGAAGACTCAATGATAATGTGTATTTTCCTAATTTAAGCATTGAAGTGTATTTATACTATAAGGTAGTACTCGACAGAAATACCAGCTTCTCTCGTTTAGTTTACATTTTGTGGCAAGAGGTAAAATTTAGGGATGTAATAGGCCATAACAATATGGTAGAAATGAAGTTTATTTTCATTCCCCTGCTAGGACTTGTGGCCGCCAATCAACAAGAAACAAAAACAATAGAAATGGAGATAATGAACAGAATAGTGTAATGATTGTTGTACATTAACAAACCGATTGAAATACCATATTCTAACCATAATTTTGGTTCCAGCATTATAATGTGACTAGCAAAATAATATGATAATTCAATTCTATGCCAAAATCTATATACAAAGCAACTTCCCCAGTAGTTGTCTTTTGGTACAAACTTCCCTAATAATTGAATAGAGCCATGTGTAGAACACAATTTCCTTGAAAGGGTTTTCTTCCAACACATATGTTATGTGCATTGACGGCTCAGGTTTTGTTCCCACTCTGTCTCCATAATTCTCTCATCCTTTCCCTAACCCCACAACTACTCTCTTCATGTGGCCCCTCACAAAACCCACAAGTCAAAACCATTTCCTTCTTTCCCCTAATCCTTCTCACATGCTCAAAATCAAATGCAAATCTCAATGCATCATTCAAAGATTTGGGGTTCTGCATGAGAACCCAATCATGAAACTCTTCCCTCAATCCCTTCACAAACACCCCTTTGATAACATCATCTTCTAAACCATGTTCCGGCCACCGCTTCAAAATCCATTGAAGTCTTAGAAAGTAGGATCTAACACGTTCCTGCTCACCTTGATAAATCCCCATAAGCTCTGACTTTAACTCCTCAACGGGTTCAATTTCGTAATATGCTTGCAAAAACGACAACTTGATTTCCTCCCAAGAAAGGGAATTGTAGTAAGGCTCGATGTTGAGGTCGTACCATAGTGCGGATTCTTCTTCAAGTGTGACGGGGAAGATATTCTTTTGCATTTCAATGGAGAATGCATTGTTTGCTCTGCATATTTTGTTGAAACGACTCAAATGGGTTATTGGGGATTCGTTTGGAGTGCCACGAAAAATGGGTAATGGAGCCACTTTTATGTATGAAAATGCATTCATGGTTTGTGGTGGAATAGGGACATTAGAAGAAGAAATTGAATTTGAAGGGCTTTCTGGAACATCACTACTGTGTGCTTCTTTCGAGGAAGATGGGTCACAATGCAGTGGATTAGATTCAGAAACGGCATCATCATCATTGTCTTCTTCTTCTTCTTCTTCTTCATATTTTTCTGTTTCTTCTTCTGTTTCATATTCAACAGCGTCTGCATCACTATAATTACTGATGTCATCATCATCTTCTTCTTCTTCTAATACCTTTTGTTTTGGAATTTTATTTGCATGTTTGGATTTGGGAACAGTGGAGGGATAATACGAAGCAGGTTGAGATGATGATGAATTGTGTTTTCTAGTCATGTTTGATTTGCTTGAATTTTTTTCTCAATGACGTTGTCTCTGGAAAATGAAAATAATCTCTTCCAAAGATACACTGGTTGGTTTGGTTGAAAAGTAAACCGTTGCTGCTGTTGGGTTATTCAGTTTTGAGAAATCTATTGGGCTTCATTTGAATTATGTTGGGCTTTATTAGGATATTGCTCTTCTCACATCAAGACTTGCTTCCATATCCTAGTTGAAAAATTAAAATTATCTCTAAAATACAGAAATGCATCTCTGAACGCATCTCATTCACATAATTCATCTGTTTTTTAGCCAGACCCTAATATTATGTCAAAAAATAATATAGAAAATGTATCTTTGTATAACTTACGGAGATGCACTTCCAGACACATTTTTAATCAAATACGCGCGTGACTCTTCTTCTTCCTCATTTCTCCTTTACTCTCTAAAAAACTCTCCAATCTCTCTCAACTCACTTTGAAGTTTCTACTATCACCATGAAATCAATCAAAAACTCAACATCAAACTCACATTTAATAAGTTTTTTATTTCTCTGTATACTTTTTTATTTTTCTACACATTTGTAGAAATTGAGCATTAGGTTGTAAGAAGAAAAGAGACTGAATTCTCTTTGGAAGATTAATTACTGACATTTTGATTGACAGTAAGTTGGCGAAGTCTTTAAATCTTCAACGAGAGTTGGAAGTAATGGTTGGTAGATATTTCAATGGTGAAGACTTGTTGGTTATGTCTCTAATCATTGAAGTGGTTAAGCTGCTTGAAGCTTTAGATGAAAATGTTATTTCATCTAGAAGAATCCATGTTAAAGACTTTCCAGACTTTAACCTTGCAAGTTTTCCTGAAATCCATCATTTCTTGGTTAAACCTGTGTTTATCTCTGTATCTGCTCCTCCTGTCAAGAAGAAGAAGAAAATCTCTAAGAAACGTTCTTGTGATGGTCCTTCTGGACATACAAAGAAATCAAAGACTCCATCTTCTGAGAAGAAGTCTCTAGAGCCAGTGAAAGAAGTCAGAATTGTTATTGATACTTTTGTTCCTAATAATTCACTACTCAAATTTGCTTTTATGAGTTCATCAATTCCCTCCGCCCTTAAAACCTCTACACATTCTTCTGTCTCCACACTTGGAATAGTAAATATGTTGAACCAGCAAAAGCCAAATAACTCATAAGCCACTAATTCTGAGCCCCAACCATCTCTCACCAAACCAAATATTTCTTGAGACACTTCTTTATAAACACTTCTCAACCCATCTCACCGTGACTCAGATGCACCTATTACTGCATCTGAAGATTCTGATATTGACACAAAAAATTTTAACCCTATGTCAGCTAAAATTTACTCTTCATCAGCTTTCCTAACCCATTCAATGTTGACAGACTGCCAAAAACCACTGCCTTCCCAGACAAAACCCCCAAACCTTACTCCATCCCTTCTAATCCTTTTCTTCATAGAATAGATGTTCGTCTAATCTCCCTTGATGAATTCTTATACCAGTTTGGGTATAGTTGTTGTACCCCAAAATTTTCCCTCTCTATTCTCAAGACATTTCTCACAAAAAATCTCAAATACTCAAGAAGTTCCAAAAGTTTGACCAGACAAGCCTACCCCTTAAGCACTGAGCCACAAATTAGGGTTTTGGTTTTCTCAAAGAAAATTGGACTTTTGATGCCTCAAATTACTTTCATGGTTCATTATAGACTTCCAAGAATGCTCATGCCAAGTTTCAAGTCTTGCATCTCAAAATTGCTCAGTCAATTGCTCAGATGACTGAAAATCATGTGTATTGGGTAAAAAGTAAATTATGGTCAATATACAGTCAAACTTCATGATTTTTGGCCAACATCAATATTTTTAAGTCATATTCATGAAATTAATCAAGTGTTGATCATAATTCTTCAAGAAAAGCACTCAAATCATAAAAGGGGCAAAATGGTCAAAATTAGGGTTTTGACTGAGAATGATTGATCATTAACTTTTGACCTAGTACATGACTTAGTGACTTGGAGCATAATCTTAAGGACTCAAATAAAATATATTTACGTAACTTCATGGCTCAAATCATTTCTCAAGATCAATGAATTGATAGTTGAAATTTGATCAATTTATGAAAAGTCAACTGATACACAAAAGGTCAAAGTTTGACTTTATGATCAATATTGAATTTAAAAGATCAATATTCATCAAGGTACTAAAAAATATAAAACTTGATCATCAAGAATCAACAAAGTCAAGAAAGTCCACAAAAAGTCAACATTTCCAAGACTTAGAAAAATTCTAAGTGTTTTAACCTTGATAATTTCACTACTTCATGACATTTTTTCACCAAGATGCAAGATGATTCAAGGAAAACTTTCAACATGAAAGTTGTAGATATTGATGAAATGTAAAACTTTGTCTCAAAGATTTGATGTCCAAAAAATGATTAGATTTGAAGATATAAGCCCATGAAGTCATGACATTTTTTCATAAAACACTTAGTGAAAATTTTGGCAAGTTAGGCAGATTTTTGTCCCGACTTCTTGGAAACTTTTCACCTAGTTCCAAGATGTTTTAGCAAAAGTGGTAAACATGAAGGTTGTAGAAAATGTTTCAATCTTTCCAAAATGTCCAAGAACTTTAAAAGATCATGCTTGAGCTAGGAGAATCGAAGAGAAGAAGTTGAGATTTCATTCTTGAATTATAAGTCATTTTGATGATGAACACTTGATTAAATCTCAAGCCATGTTGCATAGATCTTGCTTTGCAGGCTTCTAACTTGAAAATCACTCTATAATTAATTATTTACACAATTGTTAGAGCTATGATCCAAGCATTTGATCCATTTTCCAAGAGATTCATCCATTTTTGGCACAAAGTAACATTGTCAATCTTGTAAAGTTGTTTTAATCACAAAGTCAACTTGTCTTGAGCCTCTAGCTTGTTTGTTATGAACACACTCAACATACAAGATCAGATAGGCATGTTTAAAGCATCTAACTATTCTATATTACCTTGTACTATACATTGGAACAATGTATGTCAAGGTTGCTTCAAAAACAAGTCAAAAAATTATAACATGTGATCTTGTGAATCTGATCACTTCAAGCCCTCAAACCTCTTGCCTATAAATAGAGGATGTATTTGCGAGATAACACACGAACTCACAAGCCTTGAAACTCCTTCAAACTCCCTGAAATCAGATTTTCCACACAAACTTCATTTTTGTGCCATTTCTGACCTTAAACCTCAAACACTCAATCCACTCGTGCGTTTTCATTTTGAATCCATCACAAAGCTTCTATAACTCAAATAGAACCTATCCAAAGCCCCGTTTCACAACTGTAACACCTCCATCACCATCCTCTATTTCCAAAAACCTAGTTTTGCACATTGACTTCTCCAGAAAGATTCAAACACTCTCAGCATAAAGTAAACTTAGAATTAGCTTCCTAGGAATCCATTGAAGCTATTCAGATCATCACAACACATCCAAGAGTGCTCAAACTCAAAATACGACTTCCAGTTTTGAGTTAAATGTTCTCAACTTGGAACTTCTCATAAAAGCATCATGTTGTACCCCAAAATTTGCCCTCCCATATTCTTCAAGAAATTGCCAAGCCAAGTCACAAAATTCCCCAAGGGTTGCACAGCTCAACAGACACCCTACACTGCCAAAACTAGGGTTTGAGTTCTGATCAAGAAAAGGAAGTTTTCAAAGGCCCAATCAAGTCTCATATGCTTACAAAGATGGTCAAGTATTCTCATATCAAGTTTTAAGGCATTCAGCTCAAAATTGCACAGTCAAAACCCTAAATTGCACTACAGTCAACTGTAGGGGCAAAATGGTCATTTGACAGTCAAAAGTTCAAATTTTTGGTCAACATATCATTTTGAAGCCACAAACATAATTTGATCAATGCTTGATCATGATTCTCAAAATTTGGCTCAGAAAATCATCAAGATGCAAAAGTTACTATATTTGGACAGCTGAAAAAGTCAACTGAAATTGACCAGGGCATAACTTTCACATGGATTATCAGAAAAATTCCATCCAAAGCTCATTTTGAAGAGAAATACATTTCCTACAACTCATCTTCATACTTCAAGTCCAAGAAATGCTCTCACAAAAAGTTATCAATTTCAACATTATAGGTCATTTTCAAAAGTCAACAAAAAGGGACTTTAAGTCAAAGGCCATAACTTGAGATTGGTAAATCAAAATGGCATGGGACCAAAGGCATTGGTTAAAGGACTCAAAGACCTTTCCAAAATGTCCAAGAACATGTGAAAAACTTAAAAATTGAGCAAGTTATGCCTTGTGAAAGTTGGGAAATATTTGGGAATTTTGAAAAGTCAACTTTACTTCAAATGACCTAAATTTGCTAATGGGCCCATTTTTCTTCCATGATTCATCATTCCAAGCATGTGCACGACCACTTGGCCCAAAGGGAAGTATTTTCTCATTTTTTATTTATTTATTTGAATTATTATTCATATTAATTCATTTAAATTATATAAATATGTGGAAAATATAAAACTTGACCTAAAAAATCTTTTTGTACACATTCTAGACTCAAGATCTCGTGCACATCCCAATATGGCAAGATTTGGTTGACTTGAGCATGATTGAACAAAAATGCACATGAAAAAGATTCAAAAAGATCTTAAGGAAATCAAATATGCAAAATAATGAATGCCTTGGATTTGTGCTAGTTTTGTTGACCTAATAGCTTCCATACAAATACTTGAATCAAAACCTAATCATAGAACACATTGAAGTTGCACAAAAGCTAAGAACAAACTTAGAATTTTCACTTAAAAAAAAGCAAAACTGAAATCAACCTTAGAGGTCGATTCAAACCCTACAATTCATTCCATTGGCTTCCTCAAGTCTCCTTGATCATATTCCAATCAAAAACAACAACCAAAGCTCCAAGAATCGGTAATATGAGGGCAGACTGTATCGAATAAAAGTCACAATCGTGCATACCAATTCATGCATTTTTTATAAGTTTT